TGCGTGCCCAAGATCTCAAGAGGAGAATGGAGGAGAAGGGATTGCGGCGTGACCATCCCCCCGGGGGGGTGATTTCTCGCTTTCTGTCTCTATGTCTCTCTCTGTCTGTCTGGCGAGCACACACGCCCTATAGCGAAAACCTCTCAAAAAAAAAAAATACATTTTCATGTCAAAGTTTCAGCAATACTGTGTTCATAACCTAACTATATTAGCTTTTAAACACTTAATATATTTAACAACCAAAAAGGACAAAAGAAAACAAGCTCACCATTAGTAAGTCAATAGATACCTGTCATCTTGATGAATATTATGAAACAGAGAATAAAAACAGCTGGGTTTACCAACATTGTGCAAAATAGTCTCTAGACGCGAGGCATGGAGTTGCACCTTAACTTACGTCCAACAGGTTTTTCCTTGAGAAATATTATAATTTCTGACTGATTACAACTAAATGGATGATAGCTCATGTGATGCGGATACTATTTTATGCAAACACTTTATGTTACAGCTCTCAGACTGCAGGATGAATGCTGACCCTCCATAAATATACCTTTATTTACACATTATCTCACATTTTCTTGCTCTAAGTTTCTCCTCCCCCAAAATGTATGAACATTCTCCCAAAGCCAAGCAGATGCTCTGGTCTGCCCCGTCCAGCGCCCTGTCCCTGTCCACATAGCACGGTCTCCAGTATTACTGTAGCCTCACTGTGTTTGCTGCCTGTTAGGTTTCGTTCCTGTGGGTCTTGCCTGCCATATTGCTCAATATCCACCTTATTTTTGTAACTAGTGTGCATTCCTCAACACAGTGAATTTTTGCCGTATTTCTCCTGCTCACACGGGAAGATCAACCATGATTAAATATATTGGTAATTGCACGTTAGTGGAAGGAGAAGGGGACGTGGAGTCAAGATCAGTACCTGGGTTTTATTTGTATACTGACTAGTGGCATACCCTGGGATAAAGTGCTTCCCATGCTCTGAGTCTTAGTTTTATCACTTGTGAAGTTGAAGTTATAGTCTATCTGTCTCAAATATTGTCTACACATGAACTGGGTAAAAGGACAATATATTCTTTTAAGTTATTAAATTACAAATTGATTAACTAATGTTATTAAAGTGCAGTTTTGTCTATTCATAAGTCAGGCAAGTCTAGTTAGATCTAGATCTACCTATGAATCTAATGACACTGAGAGCAACTGGGTCTCACCCACCCCTCCGTCTGCCAGTGCTGTGGGGTGGACCTCCGCCCTGGCCAGCCACGGAGGTGCCCACAGGGTGACCACCAAGAACGGGGTAGTTCTTTGCAAATGGGTGGTTGAGTAGTAGATTTAAATTATCCTTCCTTTTTAACATGTCTACTTCCTGGATCCAACGCCTGTTTATGTCATATGATTTATGCTAATTATAAGCGTCTACATAGAGTTTGACAATAGTATGTTTCACATTGCTTTCATTGCCCTCTTTGTACATGAGGAATCTATGGGATCGACTGGTGGCCTATCCCATCCAGAGTGTCCACACTGTAACCATAAGGGGAAGCCAGTGTGAATGCACAGGACCCATCAGCACTGGAAAGCTGGGTGCCCTGAAAGACCTGTATTTGCAGGTGCACTTTGTCAGTCATTGATTCCTGGTTATAGCATGTCTACAGGGAGAGACTTACTTGACTTACCTAGAAATGAGACTATAATCTCTACCTGGAAAGGAAATAAATAAATATAAAGCTTTTTCAGGATAACAGAGGGGAAAAAGTTAATACCAATTGATATTCAAGTTCTTTCTGCCTGCCTCTGTCCCCCCAACTTCTAGTAGATCACTCAGTGGTGTTTCTCCTCTCCCTGATCTCTCTCCTGCCTGCCCTCCACCCTCCTCCCCCACTCCCTGCCTTTCTTGTCTCTGTTCTTCCCTTTCCTTTGTCTTTGTCTCCTGCCTTACATTTCTTCATGTCACCAAAAAGTGCTGGATTTAAATTTAAAGTAAGCCAAGTAATTTTTATCAACTTAAAATAGATGTGAATCCTAACCTACCTGCCTTATGTGGTATGAGAAAATTCATTAAGATAATAAAAAAAAACTTGAAAAATTACGTTTTTACCTATTGACTTCCTTAGTCATGTACTTTACCTGGCATGGTGAATGAGTTTTGAATATAGATGCTGGTACTATGTATCAGTGTGTGTCAATGTCACAGAGACTCCATGGCATGAAGGGGAGGATTTCAAAAATACTGAGTCGCTAAAGAATAGAACAGAGATAGCAATTAAAATGTGGCACTTGTTAATAAGTTGTTTTTCTAAGGCGTTAAAATAGAATAATATATATGAATTAAATTAGGTAATAAATAAGCATTTATTTGACTTTCTATAAATTATTGTATGAGGCCTTCAAGGTAACAATGAACCTCATTTATAAATAGTCTTTCACAGCCAACTTACCTATCTAAATGTGATAAGATTCTATTATTATCATTATTTGGGAAAAACTAACTCTTTTTAATGCACATAGAGAAAGCTAAAGTATAAGTAAAAAAATAGACTTAAGATTAAATTTTTTTTCAGTGATCTTGTGATAATGTAATTAAATGACTATTTCCACAGCCTTCTGCAGTTACAAGCATGCTAGAAAGAGGTTTTGTTCATGTAACAGAAATATCAAAATCTGCAAGATCCCATGAATAGCCTGACACCGCAGCGGTATTCTCGGGCACGTCTGTTATGTGATGTGTTTAGAAACACTTGCCCCATGCTTACTCACTTCACTCATGATTAACTGTTGGTTCACAGAGACTGGGAGGCATACAGGTACAATTTTGGATCCTTTCTCTGGGTCACAAACAAAATGTTTAAACTAAAGAAAAATGCCTTTAAATAAGGAAAAGCAAATATGTGCACCTGCTTACAGATGGCACCGTGTCATAAGGACTAAGCCAAGTAATTTAAATCCAGAGATGTGGAAATGGAGGTGGCATTTTCCCTTGATAAAATTGCATCATTTTCAATCACCTCAAGTGGGAATTTCAGGCTAAAGAAAGTACTCAGGTGAGGGATGCCTGATTGGAAACAACTGGGCCAATTCCCTCACC